AGCTGCTTGTGTTGTGTTTCTTATCCCCCCCCCCCCAAAAAAAAATGAAAATCTAGAGGAGGCAATTGCCTCCCTTGCCCTGACATTCAAAGAAATGCGTACAATATTATTAAAGAAATAAAATTAATAATCAACATACATGTATAAAAGTTCAACAAAACTTGAATTCGTATCCAGGTTTCATGTGATATGGAATGCATAACGCATACGTACAGTATATGGACGAAACACTAAAATCTTTCAGTAATTTTTTCCTGATACATGTACATATAAAAAGAGTAGTCATTTTTATTCTGTATTCATGAATTTAAAAACGAATGAATACCTCCGGGATTCTTGACGAAATACCAGTATACCGGTATTTGCACTGTAAACGACGTTTCGTCAAACGCTAATGGTCTACGCGACGCAAAAAGGAAGGGGTGGGGGTAATATGTAATGTATATCAAAAAGATGAGTATGTTTTTGTGTTAAATGGTTAAAAGAATAAGCCAATGAAATTTGACATTTATATATAAGCTGGTTTTATTGAAAATCAAGGTTTAAGTAGTTCCTAAAGGGGGGTAACTTTCGGAAGTTCCCGTCCAAAAACCACTCGAACGATTTTGTCCAAAATATGCATACATGCAGTAGATATAGTCATGTACTAAATATACAAAAATAACGAAAATTAAACGACAGGAATTTTTTGGGGAAGGTGTGTTGTACATCCTTAATATATATCACTCAGCTTCAATTGATTTATGTGAGGGATTTCTAGAAATTATTTTGCTCCAGACACTCTGATGTTTCGGAGAATTCCACCTCAGATAAAGGGGAAACACTTCAATATAAGTATGTGGCACTCGGGGGTGAAGATTTTGGTGTTGTAGTATTATTTTCACCTCAATCACTGTAGGAAAGCTAATCAGGTCAAGGAACATTGAAAATTCCGCTTCGAAATCCTCACCCCCGGGTGGCACCGCGCCCCCATATGTGGGGTTATGCACGGTGTGAAAGCTACAGTAAAAAATCTCTTAAATCCAAGAGCTTTTGGTCAGGCCTGAAGACAGCCCCAGACCCCTGCCTAATTTTTCTGCCCCCTAACTTTAATTCCTGGATCCGTGTTTGGGAATATTCAAGCGCATCATTTTAACTAGGCTGCTACTTTAACCGAGCCAGTCTGATGAGTTCGGTCATTTTTTTTCAAAAGGAGGGAATACGTTTATTTTTCATCATGTTCATTTAACAAAGCTTGCAGTGCCTTCAAAATTTTCAATTCATTTATTGGGTTTACAACTTGAGAATGATTATTTTCAAAGAAGTTGAAAATACGTTTCAAAACACCACCTCATTTTAATCACTATTGAAATAAAATTTACATGCATATTTTCCATTCTAATGAGCCTCATACTAACTTCCGTAGAAAATTTACTTTTTAATGTCATTGACGTTGACCTTGGAGATATCCGTACTTGTAAAAAAACTTAAACCTTGGCCATAACTTTTGAAAAATAAGGGTTAGGGATTTTATACTTATTATATGTAATCCTTGTAAAAAGACCCTTCATTGGGTTCTAAGAACTTTGACCCTTTGACCTTGACATAACTTTTTAAGGGTTAAGGGTAGTACTTTCATATATTTTACATATCTAATCCTTGTGACAAGGCCTTTCATTTGATAACAAGAACGTTGACCCTTTGACTCTGACCTTGGAGTTTGGCCTACTTAAAAAAAATAACCTTGATTATAACTTCTGAACGGTCAGGGCTAGGGCTTCCATACTCTACATAATTACTCTATGTGTCAAGACCTTTCATTGAATACATATTACCATGACATTTTGACCTTGAACTTGTAGATCTTTGTACTTATTGAAAGAAACTTTAACATTGGCCGACTTTCAAATTTCACTATTGTTTTCCAGTGAGAATATCCTACTTTTGGTATCAAATTATTGAATTTGCATTATGAAAAGTTAATCTTTGCTATGTTGCCATACGGGGGCATCAGTGTTTCATAAACACATCTTGTTTTTCGACGACATTTCAAATAAGAGGAAATTCGTCTTTTAGATAAGTTTCAGCATGTTAAATAGACGCTTGAATACCGATTTACACAAAAGTTTGAGTAAATGCCATACCCGTTTTATTTATTAATTTAATACAAGTTATTTATTTCATACAAGTTTTATTTGAATTAACAGTCTATATATCAAAGTTATTCAAGTGATTTTTTCTTGTATTCAGCAGTGATAACAAAAAGTGCAAATTTAAAATTTTAGCGGCTTAACTCAAAACCGCTTAAATAATCCAAAGTCAACACATCGCAAAAAATCCGCTATACAGTCACATATACCGGGGGTGAGGTCCCCTTTATAGTGGTTACTAACACTGATGCATAAAATCACACCACAATCACGTTAAACAGGCGAGAGTTTTCAAAAGCTTCTAAAAAGTTAAAAAAATGAACAAAATATGTTCGTGAACCGATGATGTCCCCATATGGTGATTTATTACGAAGGGTTAAGTTTATCAAATGCAAGTAAAACTCCAAGGTCAAGGTCAAAAGGTCAAAATAGCTGGTATCCAAAAGAAGTTCTGTTCAGAAGGAATACACTTCTAAAACATGAAAGCCCTAGAACTATATGTACCTGTTCGATCAAAAGTTATAGATAATGATAAAGATTTTTAAAAGTGATGAAAAGTCTGAGGTCAAGGTCAAAATGATTATACCTGTTGAAAGATCTTTTCACAATGAATACTCATGCGATGTATGAATTAAAGTCCTAGAATCAACTTTCAAAAGTTGCGACCAGGGGTTTTTTTGTTTTGTTTTGTTTTTTGTAATTTAAGTGGGTCAAACTCACAAGATCGAAGTCAGAAGTCAAAATTTGGTGGTACCCAAAGAAAAATCTTATCACAAGGAATACACTTGTGAAATATGAAAGTCATAGCCCCATCTAATCAAAAGTGATTGGCAAGGTTAAACATTTTGCGGACAAACAGACAGATAGACGGACGGATCGACACACATATGGACAGACGGACGGACAGGGCAAAAACTATATATCCCTGATTTTTCCGATTTCGGGGGCATAAAAAAGAATCCCTGTGCACCACATTCTAAATTTCCTTCTTCGAGGAAGGGGTGGGGGTATTCAAATGCGAAATTAATGTATTTTGATATTTCAGCAACAAGAGGTATGGGGACTCTCCAAATCAATACTTACATATATTACAACATTCTGTGGGGGACAATTATGTATTAAGCTTTCTCTTTATTGATTAAAATGTCTAAATAATATAAGGAGAGAAAAAATATTGTATGTTGCATTGCATAATTCCTTTGTTGATGATACTCTTTAAAGTTAACCTATTTACTTCAGAAGATGTATGGTCCAAAAGTTTGCCGTAATCTTCTGGTGAAACCTAAGTGAAACCTTGCCTGTTACTTTGGGGTCGGAGCCTTCGAAGTTAGTCATGGTTTAGTGGCCTGGCAACACAGAAGAAATGTAATTACAAGGAAAGAACTTAAAGTACGAATTTTTTTTTTTGCAAAATAAAAGTATTGGACCTAAAAAATATCATTCTATATGACAGAAATTGCCCTCCCTCCCTCCCCTTCTCTCTCTCTCTGAAAAAGGGGTCCCAACCCTTGGACCCCCATAGATCCGCAAATATATAACACGTAAAGACTGTACACATACATTTTCAATTGTTACTATTTTTTGTATATCATATAATTTAAGAACGATAAAACAAAAAGTTGGGGTGTGGGGTTAATAAACTTGTGCCTTTCAATGAAGATGTTGGGGAAAAGAGCTATATAAATTATATTGTTAAGAAAAAAAGCCGAAGACCTTCTTGCCCCCCCCCCCCTCCCGGATACTTCGTGGGTAACTATATCATGCAACAGTTTGTATGTTTGTTTAATTTTTAATAATATAACAACTAGGTGTATCCAAGTTTCGCGTATTTTCATATATCCTGGCGTATTGTATTTTCGACCTATTTAGATGTAATTTATTAATTTTTTGCAAACTTTATAGAGGCTGGAAAACTATGGGCTTGAAATGTTATCATATGTGTCTATGAATAAAATTATATAACTCAAATGGCAGTTTTGTATTTATTTTATTTATATGCCATAATATGGGGAATGTACATTTTTACCTATAAAAATATTATCGTCTTGTGTTTTCGACCTAAATATAGTATCAACGACCAAACATCATTGGCTTTAAATATCCGTTGGATATTCCAAACAATAAAAATACGATTGCCTGTCTTTCAAAAAAACATTGAACAAGTTACATATTTCGGATGCAAATACATTTATTTGTTGGTTGAACGTTAACCCATCTGTCAGGAGCTGTGCATTTCCAAAAAAATTCAATGAAATTACGTTGCATTTTTCAGTAAAAATCTGTAAGAAAGTGCCCATTTCTAAGGGAGAAAAAAAAAAGTTGTTTGATCCACCCATTCATTTCAATATTCTTTCTTTCGGAAAAATGTCATCAAAAAATCTTTGTTATTAACCGATTACGGCTTTGATTAATCAACAGATAAAATGTGCATTAGTAAAAAGACTAAAACTCCTGACATCAGACTATAAAACAAAAGAGGGAATTCCGTTTAATTAATTATTTTGGGTATTTTCACTACAGTTGTGCTTGAAAGGTATTTTTCCAAGTGTACCAACCAAAAATAGTGTTCTACCGCGCGGTATCTGCATGGGAAGCAGATTTGGAAAAATAGGTCGAAAATACAATACGGTCGAAAACGGGATACAAGATGATACATGACAAAATATAAACGTTTTAATTCATGCATTGGTTCCCGAGAGGGGTAAATTTAAAATTTTATATTTTTTAGGGATTAAATTGCATATCGCACCTTTCTTTTTATAGAATTAGGTGGATCTTCCAAAATCCCTACGCTCTGCATGGGAGACTGTCTTAACTTTGATCACGTGATCTGGGTTATAAGGTCAGATTGAAATTGCCATTTTGTCAATATCGGTCACTATTGTCATTGCTTCTGCATTGCATCTACTCAGCGCTTTCACAGCATTCTTCAAGACATCTTGCACAGAAGAAGATTTCTTCTGGGCGAGGTAAGTTTATACTGAAGTAGTTATATTCATCAGTTTATTACTTTATAGGGGTTATTGTGGAAAACAATTCTCGCAGTGAGTAGTCGAACATTCTTGACGCCATTGTTGGCCTGCAGCAAAACAGAGATTAGCTAGACTGGTACTAATTTAACACTAGGAAATACTTGTTCGCATGTATGCACGTGTATATTAGGTACCATTTTTCACATTTTTTAGTTTAATGTGAATCTACAAATTAAATATTGTCATGTGTATTGGCATTTTGTGTGAAAATTGGACTTCCGGAAGGTCTTGTGAGTGCACATAGACCGGTACTACGAATCACCGGAATGCCCTGTAATTAGTTAGAATAATCTGTGTCTCGGAACAAGCCCTCACCACAGTTAGAATACCACCCTTATACTCGCAATGTTGCAAAAAATTGCAGAATCGCAACGAAACGATTTTGAAGGATACAAACGGATTTGCACAGAAAATAACTTATAAATTAATCAAAACAAACCTTTTTGAGATTGCTTATGCCTTTTATCCCTAAAAATAATCCATATAAATACGAAAATCCAAATGATTTTCTCAACGTTTTTCTCGCGATTCAAACTACCTGCCATATTCCTAGTAAATGCACTATGTGGGTTATTCTTTTTGCTACATTATGAATACATGGAACGAATTCTGTCGTTAAACCGGGTCCGTAGGACAATATCATTTTAACGATAGAACATTCTATCTACCCTGTAATCACCGGAATGCCCCAAGAAATCACCGAAATGCCACCGAAAAGCCCCTTATATTGTTAAGAATAAACAAAAAAAAATAATAAATATTGATGAAATTAACTGTTCTAAAGCCTAGATACCAAGTAAAATTTTCATAATTTTAGCGTAAGTATTTTTATTTGAAGATATTTGCCTGTAAATGTCAAAGAAAGATAACTCTCACTGATTAAAGGCACGTGCCTAAATAGTTCTATTTATTTTATTTTCCCATTATTTTTTCGTTTATTAAAATTATTCCTCCTGGTGGTGGGGGTACGGGGGGCCTCCCCCCAGGAAATTTTGAAAATTAAGAGATGCCAAATCCTGCATTCTGGCTGTATTTTGGGTAAAAATATTATGTGACCCTATGATTGTACTTTGGACATTTTTCTATTCGAAGAAGTACACATGTATAATCATTTAGGATATTTCTAATCACCTTTAATATACAAAAATAAAAATTATGATGATAAAACATGTTTGAAAATAGATTTTATAATTATTAGATACATTATGTGTAATTGATAATTATATTTGTTGCTCAGAGTGAGTATATTTAGTAAAATTCTTAGTAGCCCTTGAGGGCAATTAAGTTTAAAGGCATGTTTGGTAGCTCAATCGACCTCAATATTCAGTTGTCCCAGGCCAGCGGGCTACCGTTAGTGTCGAACCCTGCCCTGGTATAATGCAGACAAACTGTACAATATGCAGAGTTGATAATTATTTACATACCAACCAGCTGTAATTATTTATAAATTGTTTACCATTATTATACTTTAATATAAAATTCTCAAATCTGTGTGGTTAATTGTTTTAAGTTGTCAAACATTCCTCTCGAGAATTTTTCACTCATATGGAGAGTGGCCCGAGACACCAAATATCAGCCATCGGGCCGATGGCCCTTACATACATGTACTTAGTTAAAAAATACAGTACACGTTAAGTTGATTTAGAAGAAAATAAATAAATAATCATGCACAGACTTCGATCATCTTATACACTATTGAAGTCGCCCATCAATCTCCCATGCAGAGTTGTCGTTCGTTTCTCTCTCAGACACCTCTGCAATGGGCTCACGTCAAGATTTTTGACATACGAGGGTTGTCCCAGAAAAACGCGAACTTTTTTAATATTTTGAATACTATTCAACCAAAATTAATAAAATTTGGTATGCTGTTGGGAAATCATCTTTAAGATATTCTGACAAAATATTATAGGCATGTGGTGTCATATGCACATAACAACAGCATTTAAATGATGTTAAATATCGGTGGTCGGCGCACGACAATTTTTCTTGACTTTTACGAATAGCATTTTGAATGAAGTTTTCGTTGTTATCAGGCTATATGGCAATATAATATCAAAAAAATTATTATCATAAATACTCAATGATTTGGTGTACTAGTGTTTAAAATTTAATTTTTTTTACATCAATAATGACAAAAATATGACGATATATAGCAAAGCGGTCTGAATTAGACTTTGTCAAAAATGGTGACGTTAATTAAGTTGTGATGCGGCGCACAAAATTATCAAGCAACACTATGTTGAGCGGGATATGACTCCTGCATATAGAATTAACGATGAAAGAACACAAATATAATATGGGGAACAGGTTTATATCTAGTAGAAGAGGTTCTAGGTTGACTTGAATAAGTTTCTGATAGAAGAGAATAGACATGTACACATAATTAAAGACTAACTGAAAAGACATAATGGGGCGTCATAGACCTACGTGAAGACTGCTGTTAAATAATGGCCTTTAATAATTCGATAAGTTAGCTTTATAATCGGGATTGTAAAATTGTCTATTGAAAAAATTAACACACACCCCGCCCCCAAATCTTTTAGTAGCACTAGTATTTGAGATGCATAACTTGGTAACTAAAAAAAAAAACTCATTGCCGTATGTGTGCTAAAAATAAATATTAATAGAGGCGCAATTTTCCTTAAAAAATATTCCTAAACATTACGAGATTCATTTTGACGTCGTTGTTGCGCCGACTGCTAATTTGATAGGTTCCTTTACATAAGAGGAAAATTTTATTTATAGAGATATTTGTTTGAAATTTTTATGCATTATTAAAAAAATGTTGATCATGATGTATGCCAATTTTTAACTTTATAGGTCTAGTAAAACAAAAGATATAAAAAATGTTCGCGTTTTTCTGGGACAACCCTCGTATTACGTATAAAACGTAATATTTGAAGGATTGTTTCAGTTCAGATTAATAGTTCTGGATTGATTTAGTAAATATCTATCTCAAAACTCAGACATAAGCATAATAATTGAATTATAACAAATTAAAACAAACGCACTATTTCTCGTGTTTAACTCTGACGTGAATACGTGAGCCAATGACAAAGGTGAATGTATGAGCCGATGGTAGAGAGTGGTCGCCCATGTGGCACAATGGTTAAAGCGTCTGCTGTAGAGGCGTAGAGTAAGGAGTCAATCCTAAAGTCGCGTGTTCGAATCCCATTGTGGGATGGGAGTTCGGTCTTTAGATGAGACTGTATTAAGCAAGGTCCCATGTAGCAATAGGTGCTGGCAAGAAAAAGACCCCTCTCTGCTCAATGGCCCTGTAAGTGCAGAGTATAAGACAAAATTTGCAGCTCTCCACCTGCTAAAGCAAGGGTTTCTGGAGACAGAATCTGTGTGTGAGCCGTGTCCTAGCCGCCAGGACTGTTTCGTAGGGGACTGTTTACAAACAGGTCTCAATCTGTGTAACATGGCTCTTCTTCTAACTGATTAGACCAGAATTAAGATCTTGACTTATTTGTCCATTGGCCCTCCATCTGTCTGTATGTGTGCTGGTTACCCTGTAAACAGTTTTTCAAAATATGAATTATATTGACCATCCCTTAATTATGGCAAAACTAAAATTATATACATGCAACCGTGGACTTAATTTGGTCTAGTAGACCTTCTTAATGAGTTTGACAGTAATTTTAGATTTGTAGAAGCTTATTAATAATATTAAAGAAAATATTCAAAATAGTTTTGCCTGGACGTTCTTGTCTGCCACTTTCAAGAAGTCATATTAAATCTCATTTGTCTGTCAGTCTGTAAGTCTGACAGTTTATCTGTCACCACTTCAAACCTGGTCATATCTTTTGAATGAGAAGGGATTGGGCTTTCATATCTCACATCTGAAAATATGTATATTATTCTGATTTTTTTCCCTCATGACTATAATAATTAACCTTGAGGTTTGACCTACTTTTCATAAAAGAACCTTGATCATGACATTTCAAATTGAGAAGAGAAGAGGCTTTAATTCATATCAAACCTGTGTGTTGACTGTGACAATTTAAGATCTTTTAAATACACCAATTTTTGAACTCATCACCTTGATGTTTGACCTTCTTAAAAAAACAACTTAAAATTGGCCAAAACTTTTGAATGAGAAGAGGTGGGGCTTTCATATTAAAACTTACATTATATGTGACAAGACCTTTCTAAATACACTAAGATTTTTGACCTTGATCTTGAAGTTTGACCTACTTTTTAAAATCTTTGATCTTGCCCTTGAACGAGAGGCAACAATTACCTCATTGAAAGAGTACCATTAAAGTCTGTAACAGTTGTTTATTTTTTAATCATTATTAAGCTTTTAACATTTTAATCTTGGAAGTTAATTGATATTATATAGGAAAAATAACAATGACTGGTAGATATACATGTAAACATGGTAAATGCATGACTTATCCAGTATAATCCATCATACATGTATTGTTAATATAGTTCAACCTTCCCTTTCTGAATACTGTAGAAGCACAAATTTTCGTGGGCATAAAATTTCATTGACTTGCCATCAGAAATAGTTTCATTGGGATTTAATTTCTTTGTTTAGAAAATAACCTTATTTAATTTAAAGTCATAAAAAATTTTGTGTAGGATTTTAATTTCGTTGATAGTCGTTAACAACGAAATAAACGAAATTAAATCCCCAACGAATATTTGTGCTTTTACAGTATATGCATGATTTTGCTCTGCATTGGTTTGTCGGTATTGTGTGTAATTATAAATTATGAATATTTCTTCAGGATAATTAAAAACATGAAAGAAATATTTCAATTATTAGTGAGTAGGAAGTGATAAATGAAATTTGAGAATTAAATACATGTTATTACCAGCAAAAATAAGACTTGAAATGAGAAAAAAAATTGGCCATTATAATTTACCAAGTAGGTAATTCTTTTATTTGACATAAAATGCACCAGAAACACTCCTGGATGCTCTATAGTGCCAATTATTTTAAATTTTAAGGAAAATCTTAACTTTGAGGACAATGTACTACTGATGAACTTTTATTTTTATGTAGATGGAGCTTCGACGGTCTACGAGGATTCGGCGTCCACCTGCGTGGCACGCCGACTACGTGATGGGCTTCCCGGTAAGTCTAAAAAACACAAAATCTACCTCTCTGTATATAATCTGGTACTGTAAGGAATCACTTTGTCTGTCTGTCTGTCTCACAGAATCTACCTCTCTGTTTGTATATAATCTGGTACAGCTGTAAGTTTTATTCAACACCCCTCAAACACATTTGGGGGTTGCTTAGGAATCACTTTGTCTGTCTGTCTGTCTCACAGAATCTACCTCTCTTTTCATAAATATTGAAACTTTTAGTTTATTCACTTGACACATTAAGGTTGTGAAGACAAGGGTTATGCCAAATTTATCTTTGGGGGGTTTACAATTTTTTGACACAAAAATATGCATTGGGCAGTCAAAAAATAAAAATGAAAATAATTTGGAACCTTGACATATTTTTTTTCAAGTAACATTGAAATGAATCAAATAAAACTAATAAACACATAAAATTTTTCAACTTTATAAGCTCACCTAAGCCAAAGGCTCAATTGAGCTTTTCTGATCACATTTTGTCCGGCGTCTTTCTGTCCATCTGTCTGTCTCTCTGTTCGTCTGTACGTCTGTCTGTAAACTTTTCACATTTTCGACTTCTTCTCAAGAACCACTGAGCCAATTTCAACCAAAATTAGCACAAAGCATTCTTGGGTAAAGGGAATTCAAGTTTGTTCAAATGAAGGGCCACGCCCTTTTCCGAGGGGAGATAATCATGAATTTGTTAAAGATTAATGGCATTTTTAAAAAATCTTCTTCTCCAGAACCGCTGGGCCAGGAAAGATGAAACTCATGTGGAAGCATCCTCAGGTAGTGTAGATTCAAGTTTGTTCAAATCATGACCCCGGGGCAAGGGTGGGGCCAAAATGGCCAATTTCAATTTTACATAGGAATATATAGGAAAAATCTTAAAAAATCTTCTTCCCAAGAACCACTGGGCCAGGAAAGATGAAACTCATGTAGAATCATCCTCAGGTAGTGTAGATTCAAATTTGTTCAAATCATGACCCCCAGGGCAAGGTTGGGGCCAAATGGCCGACCAAAGTTTTACATAGGAATAATCTTAAAAAATCTTCTTCTCCAGAACCACTAGGCCAGGAAAGATCAAACTCATGTGGAATCATCCTCAGGTAGTGTAGATTCAAGTTTGCTAAAATCATTACCACCGAGGGCTAGGGAGGGGCCAAAATGGCCGACCCAAGATTTAAATAGAATATATAAGAAAAATCTTTAAAAATCATCTACAGAACCACTGGGCCAGGAAAGTTGAAAGTCGTGTGGAATCATCCTCAGGTAGTGTAGATTCAAGTTTGTTCAAATCATGACCCCCGGGACAAGGGTGGGGCCAAATGGCCGACCCAAGTTTTATCTAGGAATATATTAGAAAAATCTTTAAAAATCTTCTTCTCAAGAACCACTTGGCCAGGAAGGAAAGATGAAACTCATGTGGAATCATCCTCAGATAGTGTAGATTCAAGTTTGTTCAAATCATGACCTCAGGGGCTAGGGAGGGGCCAAAATGGCCGATCCAGGTTTTACATAGGGATATGTATGGAAACCTTATAAAATCTTCTTTTCAAGTACTTCAAAGCTATGATTAGTGATATTTATATGGAATCATCCTCAGGTAGTGTAGATTCTAGTTGTTCAAATGATGAACGCTTGGGGGGGGGAGTAAATTCAAGCCTGATGTGCTCAGGTGAGTGCTGTGGCCCCTGGGCCTCTTGTTTTGTTCCCATACTCCATCTATGGGAATTAAGAAACCAAACTAAACAGGCTAAGTGTATATTTACGATAAGGAATGGTGCCTCTTTCAAAATTGTGAATGCCATGATGTCTAGTTTAAAACATGAACCAAATTCAATCCTTGTAAAGTTGTTGCATGATGCTCAGGTGACCTATAAGGCCCATGAGCCTCTTATCTTTAACATTGTTTAGCTAAATTTTAAAGAAACCATTCAAGATATCTTAACTTGATTTGATGATACTTGTTAGTCAGTCGAACACTTGCTCCTTGATCAGAAGGTTATGAGTCTGAATTACAAGAGCAACACAGGGCTCGACATTAACGCTTGTCCGGTACCAATGAAAATTTTTTCGGACAAGTGAATATTGCTGGGCACTTGTCCGATTTGACACGTGATTTTTCTATGTAAAGAAGTCTTCAAATAATAATAATTAAAAAAAAAACTATTGTAAAGTTTATTGAATATAAACGGAAGCAGTACATAAACCTGAATTTCGATCCCGATATCAAACACTATGTAATATCACACTTCATTGGGATCGAAGTTCACTAATTGCAGCCATACTATTGCATGGTGTGGATCTCACGACGTTTGTGAGTTCGGAATATATTTGATTGATATTACAGATTCACTTGCAAACATTTATGCTATTGTCAGTACAGGAAGTCTAGATAAAATTAAGTTTAATGTGTGTTTGTATAGACGTATTTCACATTCCTAAGAGTTACCTCCCGTTGTCGGCGTAACGCTCATTTTTCCCTCTTTGTCCTTTGTAAGTTACCTGTTAATATTTTTAAAATTCAAACGTAAGGCGACCATAATTTGATTTTTAGTGTTACAGATTTTTTTTCAAGAAAGGTCAAGTCGGAGGATGAAAAAAAAAAAAAAAAAAAAAAGAAGACGAAAATCATTCTAGCAATGACCTTTTTCACATATAAAAAGTCACACATTTCACTGTTGTATAAAACAAAATAAAAAAACAACTTACAAGATATGTTTTTTTTTAATAAATATTAATATACACATTACATGTATAAATTTTGTTATCTATAAAAATTACAACTTTTAATTCAAACATTGTTTAATGTGAGCACCATGTAATATTTGAAATTATAAAAATTTAATTTTGTTCTTCACTGTATAGTTTGAACATTCATTTGAGTGTCATATGAATAATACTGTAAACGTATTACATTTGGCTGTGTATTCTTTTTAGCGCCTTTGGCGGAAAGAAACATCCGCTAATTCAAATACAACGCTAAATTTCTTACTCATATACTCTTAGATAAGAACATGAAGAAATGCGCTAAATCAAATCTATGCTTATGTGTTCAAAAATCAATTTTCGCCAAATATCGTACACGCCAAATATAATACACTTACAGTATTCAGGGTAAATATCGAAGTTTAACTTGGCAATTAAACAAATTCATAATATTCTGCAGACGGTCTAAGTTTCCAGCTTTCAACTGATGGATGAATGGATTTTTCTCATTATAAGGAGCAAGAGAACTGTTTCCTGGATTTAATAAAGATCTGAAATAGAAGGAATTGGAAGTACCTGTTAGCCAAACTTAAAACTTTAAACATTTTTAAAAATTACATGCGTTATCTATTGAGAATGAATTAGATGGATTCTTAGATCATGCATTCTTTTTTTTTTTTAAATCTAATAGAACATAATGATATCAAAGCATTTTTGTAGTCCTGTTCCAAACTGCTATAAATATTATATTTTGAAATTAAGAAACTTTATTACCCTGTTTAGCTACATAAATTCAAAGAAGTCTTCTAGAGGTACTGTCAAGTTGCTCTGCAGTTTCAAGGGCTTTCATATACTGGTGTTGATGTAGGATTTGCTAAGTTAATAATAAAGTACTATAGTTTATGTCTTTCCTGATCACAGTATTATTTATGGAGGAATTATTTGTTTTATAAACTTGTTTGCAGCAAAGTATCAAGTAAATTCATATCGTTATTAACCGTCCTTTTTTGCAAAACTTCCACATCTAGTATCTCTGTATTTGATAAAAAACACTTTTTATGAGGATAATGAGCAATTAGAACTGCAATTACATCTGGTAGCACTGTTGACACCTTGATTCATAGGCCAGAGTTTTTTATTTTCTGTTTAACGGGAATTTTTCAGAAAAAAATTGGGTCGAAGGGACGAAATAAAAATAAAAATTAAAGATCAAAATTTGTCGAGTCGGGGCCATAATAAAAATAAAACCAAAAATTGGTATGATTTTTTTTTTCATTTAAATGTTGAAAAACGAAAGAAAACACAATACAATTCTGTTTACAATGTTAATGAGGATTTTAAAAACAGATAAAAAGATACAACTGCATGAGCTATCCTACTATGGTTAATCACACTTGCAAATTTTTTCTAGTATGAAAGCAAATCAATATAATATTATAATTTACATTTGTTATACAGCAACAATAATGTTTTGATAAACGCAGATCACAGAAAAAACCACACTGCTTAAAATTTTACACAGGTCTTCAAGTGATCACCTAAATATTGTACAAAATTATAAAAGTCGTGATGACAAATGTTTTAAGCTACATATATATTAGGATTTAACAGAAGTAAAAAAAAAAGCAGTGGGGTTGATAGCTAACTTAACAATGTTATCTTAGTATAAAGGGATAACACATTCTTGAGGTTCTGAATGGAAATATTCAGCTGAACTTTTAATGAACAACTGAGCCATTAGTCCTCGTCAGACATGGAAGTCTTCTGAACTCTTCACAAATTGCTGGGTCTCTGTCAAGAAATCAAACTGCAAAAAAAAAAAAATTCTTATATGATACTTTATTAGCTAATCAATTCAAATGCATGTAGTAAATGGTAGAAAGTAGAAAAAACTATTTACAATTTGAAATGATTTTCTTTTCTAAATACAGATACAAATATTTTAAGAGTTTTTTCTTAAAAGATAAAAATAAATAACAATAGTATCGTTCTTTGTACATTTTGCACTAAAGTATTCAATTGTTCACTTCTTTATTTATTTACCTTTCCACAGGATATGTGCAACTCCAATATAGCTGTCACTTCACTTGTCAGTATTTTATACCAACTCTTTTAATTCTGTAGGAATCCTAGCCTCATTTCATTCAACCAAATAGACATGGACTCGTATCTAAAATATTTTAATCATCATTTTATGTCCCTGATAAAGTTAGACACGATTCATTGTAAAATAAAATTTTGCCGCGAATTTTACCTCAACTTGTTATGTGCCATATGTGATTAAATTAATCTAGAATGCAAACATCTTTAATAAAAAACATAAAAGTGCAAATTAACACTAATAAATTTTAACAGAAAGTTTATTAATCAAGACAACGTCTAAAAACTTACCCCAACTATTTGGACACATGCTCCATGTTCCACAGTTCAATGTGCATCTGGTGTATTTATGTTGTCAATTCTTTAACTCCAATTTCAAGAACTTGCTTGTTTTCATCATCAATGGATTTAAATTAACCATCTATTAATGTCTTAATTGAAATGACATTGGCCTATTGGTGCTTCTTGATAACTTGATGGAACCCGCGAAGTGTGATAAACTAGTTCCTTAAACTGGTTACGACATCGTAATCATCAAGACGCTCGTAAAAGACTTTGATTAAAAGAGGCTTTGTCAAACGTTTACTTGATTCTTTAGAAATAATGTGTACATCAAACCCGATTTTATTTCAAACCATCAATGAATGACACAGTCAGCGGGTATTTTAAAAATAAAAGTGAAATTGTCCTCTTTTATTTTTATTCCGTATTTTGAAAAAATTGGGTCGGCGCTTCCTGTTAAACAGAAAATAAAAAAAACTATGGCCTTACCTGTTATCAGTTGCTATGAGCAGATTAGCTACCGGTAAACACTGCATGACAGCCATCTTTGTTTTGACTTGTCGGTATTTTACAAATCGAAGAAGGTAAAAAAATCCGAATTTTTTCGAAATCGGTAGAAACAGCAATTAAAAAAATAGAGAAAGACGTGCCATGGGGAGGGTTCAGAATTGGTAGACTCTCGATAAAATTAAAGTTGACAGCTCACCTTATTCTACCATTCTGCACATGTTTTTTTTACGTTTCTGACAGATTTGTTTTTATAAATCACAGGTTTGACACAAGCGGATTGAAAAATTCCAATTTTTTTTTTTTTGAAATGCAAATTTTTAGAGTCGGCGGATTTGTAAAACTAAAAATCAAATTATGGTCGCCTTATATGACAATTTCGATCTGTACCTGTATTGCCACAGTATGGGGCAACATGAAAAACATAATGAGCATTTTCATATAGATTTTATTTCTATGATACTGAGCCATAAAGTCGGTAAGGTTATATAGGGAAAACAGGGTCTTACACCGGTTGACCCCGGTTTTGCCCCGCAAAGGGGAATAACTTTTGTAAATGTGAAAGTCGTCTATTATTTATCAATAACAACACTAATAAATCAAGCTCATTTAATTTTTCAATTATTTTCAAGTTGACATAACAAGACATTCATTGAAAATTTTCAGACAAGTGATCAGTTGAAGTTCGGACAAGTAAATATCTTGGTCACTTGTCCGAATGGACAAACAGGAAAAAAGTTAATGTCGAGCCCTGCAACAGACCTACGTCATGCATCATCCATTGGTCGTCGTCTATTGTGCATTAATATTTGAAAATTTTCACCTTATTTTCTGAAACTACTCAACCAATTTCAAACAATTTTGGTATACAGCATCTATGGGTGAAGGGGAAGAGAAATTGTGAATATCGTTTTCCCTGCATCCCCACTCCACCCCAAGGAACCTGAGGGATTAGGCCAAAACCACTAAAATGGATGCAATCTTTAACATCTTCAGTGTTACTCCTGGACATCAAGCAATCAAACCAGTGCTCCAAGTCACACTTGCTCTTAGGTCGCAAAATGGCGACCTAAAAATTTTTTTGGTTGCCATTTCAGAATTTCTGGTCGCCATTATCAAATATTACACTCGCCATAAAAAAAAATAATGTTCTGACTAAAACTTGATAATTTAAATAAGGATATGTATTATGTCTTTATTATATCATAGATTACGTATTATTGTGACTATAAGAATTTGTTAGGTTGAATGAAATATTTTTATTGAATACATGTACCTTTATGGTTGTACAGAATAACACAAGTAATCTGATTACAGAAATAAAATTTTATCAAATAAAAATACAAGCTTGACAGCTGTTGAGACAGGACTTTGCCTGCTGTTTGTCATGTTTACTTTACTGCTACGTACCTAACCCATTACACAGTCATTATGAATGCCGCCAAAACACTCTTTATTAGCATGATAATACAATCATGATTCATCATGATATGCAAGCAATGGATTAAATGTTTCAATAACAAGGTCGGATCTTAAATTTTAAAGTGTACGATTTGGATGCCATACTATCAGGAACATTACTTGTCCTCGTCTCTGGTTCAGGTTCTGTCAAACTTTGTACAGCTGCCATGCTGTCATAACATTACGTGATCTAAGTCCATGCAACGCTTTGTAAAGTGTATTTTAATTTAATATGCTTATACCTTATGCAATGTTGGAATTTATAAATGACCTCTAAATAAAGTTTATAGATCCTCATCATGTAGATTTGAACCCCATCCCATTTTTCTGATACCAGTAAAGTCCTTAAAAAGAATTGTCCATTATTGTATCTTTTATCCAAAAAATTCACTAATATTTCCATGTGTAACCTTAACTGTACTGCAATAGAACTCATGACCTCCCAATCACAGAGCAAGCACTCTACCAACTGAACTACCTTGAACTGTGGCAGGTCTTGAAGTATGTTTATGAAGAATGAGGTTAATTAGACCTTTTGTAATCTCTTGGCTATATATCTGATTATTAAAGATATTAGGTAGCTTTTGGTCATCACACTTTGTCAGTTGCTGCATCTTACATGTAGGTTCTCAGAGTGTAGAATATGATGACCTTTTGGGATTTCTTTACTTTATCTAAACAATATGCTTAATTAACAGGATGCTTTAAAGGCTTCAAATAGAAATGAAATGCTATTAACCATTTTCTTTTTGTTGTCCATGGATACTATGCAACTGGAGGTTCTGTATAGTAATAGATTTAATATCGTGACATGTTTCTGACACTCTTTTTCTCTTTTTAGGTGCGGAAGTCCATCAGGCAGCAGAGGGTGGGGGCTGGAGATGCTCTCCAGCAGACTCAGGAGATAGCACTGCCTTCTTCCATGCCTGAGCTTGATCTTCCTGAGGAGGAGCTTGAACAAACTGAAGAGGTGGCATCGCCATCTTGTCAGTCTGTGATAGTTCACCCTCAGGAGGATCCTGAGCAGGGTGAGAGGATTGCAGCGCCAGCTCCCAAGCCTGTGATTGATCTTCCAGAGATGGAGCTTGAACAAACTAAGGGGATGGCCATGCCCTCCTCTCAGTTTGTAATAGCTACCTCTCTGAATGATCATGGTCTTGCATGGGCCTGGGAGACGGTATCGCTATCTCCTCAGGCTGCTGGAGGTCATCCGTCCTGGTTTCCATTTCGATGCTGGCCTCCACTGGAAGTGATTCCCCAGGATCAGCCACCACCAGTGGGTATGTAGGAGATAG